AGTAGAATTGTGCTCCATAAGGTTTTCAGTGGCTGATTTTTTTGGAAGTAGGTTGCCAAGACTTTCTTCCGAGCTGCCTCTGGGTGGATTCGAACCTCCAACCTTCTGATCAGTAGCTGAGTGTGTTAACCATTTGTACCACCCAGGGACTCCAGAATATCTGCCTCCGTTTGTGTGGGGTCAGTGGTCATAGTCTGCAGACGTTTTTTTTTTTGCAGCCCCTCAGGGACCATCCTGGAGGAGCCATCCAGCATCTGTTCCACCCTACAGAGTGAGTTCTCACTGGAACCTTTCCTAACTTGGATCAGAGTTTGACTCACCCTCAAAGCCAAACCTACGAAAACATCCTTCTCTACCAAAAGAGAGACGAGAGGCTTCTAAGAAGCATACTGATAGGGAAAATCAGGCAGGTCTTCAAATGACACATCGAGGAGTTACCCTCTACTCTTGCCCAGTTTTACAACAAGTCCCTACGAAGTTCTCTGTTTTCACAGCTCACAAACGACTCAGCAAACCCACTGCCGTCGAGTCGATTCTGACTCATAGAAACCCTATCGGACAGAGTAGAATCGCCCCGTAGAGTTTCCAAGGCTGCAAATCTTTTACAGAAGCAGACCACCACATCCTTCTCCTGCAGAGCGGCTGGTGGGTTCGAACCGCCGACCCTTTGGTTGGCAGCTGAGCGCTTTAACCGCTGTGCCACCAGGGCTCCTTGCTCACAAATGAGCAACCTATGAAGGACTAGCACATTCAACAGTCCCATCTGAGCCCCCACTGCTCTCTCTGGTGGTATGTAACGGATAAGCTTAATCTGCTCCTACATGGCTGATTTTTGAAAACTTCATCTTGTTAAACTGCCTAAAATCGCTCTTGATTAGGTCCATCTGGTGGTCTGTAGGCAGATAGGACTCTTTTCTACGTTCCTGTGAACTCACCAGACTGACTTCCCCTCCACCTGATGCAGGTGGCTATCTCTGAAAAAACAGAGACAAAAAAGCAGTTGTTTATTTGGTGCACGGGACGCTTTGGGAGGTAGAGCCCGTTTGGCTGGCCTGCCGTGGTTGGGGAATTTGAACAAAAACCAGGCATTTTGGTTACTGAGGCATTAGAAGTAGAAAGAAAGTTCGGGAGGATGCCAAAGGCCATTCTGAAAATTCTTTGTTTACCGATGGCCCCAAGGGGAGAAGATGCTCTTTTTCCTCGATTTTCTCTCCTCCTGCAGACTCATGTACTGCAGAATTTAAGCCCGTTATTAAAACTAGTAGGAACCCACAGGTACTGCAAATAGTGAACACACTCAGCTGCTAACCAAGAGGGTGGTGGTATGAGTCCATCCAGAGGTGCCTCGAAAGAAAGGCCTGGTGATCTACTTCTGAAAACTCAGTGATTGAAAACTCTGTGGAGCACAGTTCTACTCTGACACACATGGGTCGTCATGAGTTGGCAACCGTGCTTGTGTTTATTATGGCTACAAGTCCTAACCTGAACCTCTGAGAGAGGGCCCACCTCGGGGTTAGAAGCTGGATGTCGGTGTATAATGGGAACTCCCTCCAACCAACATCTGAAAATTATCATCTGCTAATCTAACATAATGAAAATGGATTGTAATTATAATTTAGACGAATTAATTCAACAGAGGACACTGAGTGACTTAATTTCCTTAACTGTATTTGGAAGCAATGACCTTAGTAATTTGGATCAATTCTAATGGGACAACTGGTACTGTCAGAAATGTTTCCACCACTTTGTTGAGAGCCTACTGTGTGCCCGGTACAATGCCAAACACTGAGGATTACAGAAACATATTTAAAGTCTACATAAAATCAATGCAACCATACTTGTATCTGCTTTGATGGTTTCTAGGATATCTTCAGTTAGATTACTACCTTATAATCTAGCAGGCTTCTGCCTCCTAGAATTTAATAGGGACAGGTGAAATAAAATTCAGTGAAAATTATCCTTCCAGACACTAATGCTCTCATTCGGCCTTTTGAGCCCACATGTTTAATGACATGCATCGTGAAGTAGCAATACTTTTACAAAAGATGAATAAATGGATAAAATTTCTTAGCAGAGATAAACCAACAAATTTTATCTCAGGGTGATCTGCTCCTGAAAAAGAATTTAAAAGTTCAAATCCCTGTACTATTTTAGCACTGCCTTGTGGGGGAGGGGTGCTGTCAATTGAAGACTGAGGACTTCTATTTGGGTGAGGAAAGAAAGTTATAACCAGAAGGAATTGAAAGAATTTGGAATAAGCTTGTTATGCCAGAGAAATCTATAGCAGTTACCCGAAAGTATTTATTTAAATCCCCTATTTATGCACGTGTGGTAACCCAGCTACAATTGCGGCAATACTGTCACTCAGTTTCCACAGAAGAGAGCCATCCATTGTTTCATCTACAACTCAGCAGACCGGTCTTAGACCACCAGTCTTTTAAAATTCTCCACCCACAAAACCAAAAATCTTTGTTGTTTTTTTTTTAAGCTTATACACAGGCATGAAAAAAACAGAAGTTCACATGTCTAGGTTGCTTTTTCACTGCTTGCATAACTTAAAAAAAAAGGTTTTTATTTAAAAATAAAACTGGGCAAGGGAATAGTTCATAATATGGACCAAGTGCATTTGGAATGCTTTAATAAAAATAAACGGCCAAGGTATTTAACGTTGAAAAGCATCAACTATACAAGCACACTATTCCTTCTTTGATTTTATAGTTTGTCACCTTTGAAAACAGGATTTTTAGAAGACTCACCACGCTGGATAAATTTTGTAGACATATTCTGAAGACTTAGTTTTGTAGACCTTGTTTTTACGGGGCAACATAAAGAAATCGATACGTCTTTTTCTTTTAAATAACAGACCTCCAATTATTCCACCTCATCAAAATTAATTTCATTTTTTCCAACAATGTTTCTTGTTTTTACCCATACACAGTTGTATCGTCACAATTGTATTCAGTGTTTCTATAATTTTGAATTCTTTTTCACGGGACATTATATTATCAATATTTCTCAGGTTTCATAGTCAGTATCAGCATTATAAGTAAAAATTTTGACTTTTATGCTATCTTAATCTGGTACAGGATTAGGATAACATTTACATTTTATAAATCTGGGATACTTCCCATATTTCTATATGCTCCAGAAACATTTATAAAACACAAGAATTAATTATTTCTTGAGTTTGGGAAAAAAAAGCTTACCAATGACTCTGTCAAGTCATATTTTTGGGAAACTGGTTAACTATAAACTTAATTTTTCCTGAGTTATTGGTCTTTTAAAACTTTTCTAATTGTGAATTTATAATTTAATTTGTGTAGATGACACAGTTTGTTTCATTTACTCGTTCACATATATTGTTAAACAACTGTGCACTTCATCATTTTCAAATCTTGTTTCTGTAATAATTATGTGGTGCTTGATATAGCTCCTTCTTCATTTACAACTTAGCTTATTTATTCTATTTTTGCTTTCAAAGAGTCAACTCTTGACTTACTTATCTACTTTGCAGCTTTCTATTTTACTTTATTTTTATCCTTTCTTTTCAATTATCTTGAATGACTTGAATGACTTGATGTCTTTTCCTTGGTCCAAACATAAATATTCATCAAGCTCTGAATAAACTCAAGTTCTGCTCTGGTCACATCACTTGGATCTCAGTATGTAGGATTTTCCTTACCATTATTCCCTGAGAAGGCTTCTGTTGTGTGCCTTTTACTTCCTTCTAGACCCAGTTATTACTAAGAAGACTACTTTTGCATTTCTGAGTGTTTGGAGTTGTTTTTATTGTTAGAGTTGGGGATGCACAGAGAAAATGGGCTTGATTAAAATCTTTTTAAATATATCGAGACGATCTCTGAATCTTCATAGATCATGTGTCTTGTACACATTTCTGTAGACACTTGAAAATCAGACTGCTGGCTAAGTAATCTGAAGAAGGCATTACACAGACCAAACTTAGATTCTTTTATAACGCCACACTGTTTATACATCAAGCTCCTCCACATTACAAAGACGAAACACTTGTGCATATTTAGCACAGTACCTAGCACATCATGACCACCCAACAAATGCCGGGTGGCACAGGTGTAATAGTAACAATAATATTCTAACAGTAGTGATATTCCTTCTGTCTCTTCTGCAGGTTCAGCCACACTACTGATCTGGAGAAGAGCAACCAGCTCTGTGGTTTTGGTCTGGATTTCCTTACCCGTGACATCACATGGCTGGACTAGATGTTTTCTGGTCTAGTTATTTCCAATTCCAAAATTCTAAATCTTGTTGGCTTGTTCGGACCCAGACTCCATCTACACTGAATGTAGGTCACGCATATCCCCCGTTTCTAAGGAACATGCTCCAACACTCTTTAACTGCAAAGGTCTCTGGGAAACGAAGTCAAGATAGAAAATTTTACCAAACCGGCAACTGAAAGTTTTGAGCAGGTAGGAAAGTCAAATTTTAAAGCTATTCATCGGTCCTCCTTATGCTTTCTAGGAATGCAAGTAAAATTTCCAAAGCAATGTGAAGCCAAACCTATTCTTTTCCTTCACGAAAGCCATGCTAATTTGGGTCACTTTCTATCAGTATTAGCAATCAAAGAATTTAAGAGAAAATATGAAATACAAAGTATTTGCACGGCTGGCTATACTCCAAGACATTCCTCCATTATAATACATTCCTAAAAGCCAGTAATACCTTCCCTAAGAAAGTTTATCATGCAGATTGAAAATAATCATCAAGAGTGAAAGTCTTATCACTATTATTAAGGATGAAAATTTCCCAGCGTCTATAAAACCATCATCTACTAACAAATGTACTGATCAGTCATTAAAAGCAAAGCAAAAGCTCTGAAACCAAATTATGGACCATCTAGGAATAACGGGATGCAAAACCAGTAAGAATTATGCTTTTATACCTGTCAAAATAAGTCCCCCGCTGCAGTTTTAATGCTGTTCTAAACAAGGTATCACTGTAATTACTATAAAATGCAGACTTACCCGGGCGATAGACAAAGTTGCCTTCAGTTTCTGATGAAGATGGAGACACTAATTCTTCCTCAAATTCGTTGGAGCTAAATGACCCCGAATGGTTTCTCTGCCTTGTTTTTCCCATCATGGCGGCATTTGTGGCCATGACATGCCTCAGAGAGTCATTAAGGTAACGATTCAACAAGCTGCTCTTGTATTTCGGGGGCGACACGTAGTCCTCACTCGCACTGGACCCTGGTCTCACCCCCGTTTTGATCACTGAGCTCTCAGTCTTCATCGCAGGATGGTGAACGGGCTTGTTATAGCCCCCTTCATTCATGTGGTTTCTTGGAGGATTTTCTCCATCTACAGGAGAGAAGTACCACTAAGTAGTACTTACACACACTTTTACACAATCGCTTAATTGTTATCTTTAATCATTAAATATATATAAAGGAAAATATTTAAAGTGTATAAAATTATCTTTGCTATTCAGGATTAATTTTTAGGCAAAGGAAAGCAGGAATTGTATATGATTTCTCTGTACGGTAGTTTAATTTTAATGAATTTTACAGAGAACACTATTCTGACACAGGATAAATCTACAAACAAGAGGAAAAGGCCATAATTCTGTGGGTCATTTAGGGTACTGTAAAAGCGAAGTGACCTCATGCAATAAAAAACAACCGTTACGGCACCATCAGATTTTGTGGTCTCAACCTTAAAAACAGCAGTTGAGGTGAACTTCTTGTCACAGACACAAAGCAAAGAAAGCAAAGTAAAAATATTAACAAACCTTCAGAGCATGAATCATCACTGCTCACACTAAGCCTCTCGGCATTTCCTTGAACATACTTGTTGTATAATTTTATTCTTAAAGCCCAGCTTAAATCTGGCTGCCGAACAGTATTCTTAAGGCGACGTCTCGCATTAGCAAACCAATTTGACACCTAAAAAAAGGATTATTTTTCAATTAACAAAACATAAAAACATAACCGATGATATGATTACTATACCATAAAGACCTAAGCCTTTCTCAGCATCTCTGTTGTTACGTAACCTCAGGATTTAATGGTACTGGGCATTGATGTTCACTCATTCAACAACCGTGCTGAACACTTAGCACAGACATTGAGCATTTACTGTATTATGAGAACAAAAAAAAAAAAAAAAAAAGAGGTTTTTCCATCAAGAAAATTTCAGTCTAGTAAGAGAGATAAAATGTTGTTTTGTAGTTGTGTGCCACTGGGTCAGTTTGGACTCATAGCAAACCCGTGTGACAGAGTAGAAGGTTTTCTTGGCTGTAATCTTTACAGGAGCAGATCACCAGGTCCTTCTCCCACAGAGCTGCAACCTTTCAGTTAGCAGCCGAGCGCTTAACAGTTTGCACCACCAGGGCTTCTTAGTAAGAGATATAGGATAGTATACAAAAAATTCTAATAGAAGAAAGAATGTGATAAATGGTATAAGAGACATTAAAATAAAATGATACTGGAGTCCAAAGGAAGAAGGGATTGCTTCCACTGATTCAACACTTCATGAGAAATTTAAGCTAGGCTTTAGAAGAAGGACAGAACATATCAGGCAGAGTGGGTAGAGAAGTGTATTCCCAGTAAAGAGGACACAGGAACAAATGTAAATTAAATTCAAGAGACACTGGAGAAAGAGGAAAGAGTTAAAGATGACCTTGAATAATCAACAACCCGTGTAATCAAGAGAGGGGTTGTTGTTGTGTAGTGCCATCAAGTCACTTTTCGACTCATAGCAACCCTGTGTGACAGAGTAGAACTGCCCCATAGGGTTTTCTTGGCTGTAATCTTTATGCGAGAAAATTGCCAGGGTCTTTCTCCCATGGAGCCACTGGTTGGGTTTGAACCATGAACCTTTCAGTTAGCAGCCAAGCACTTAACCATTGTGCCACCAGGGCTCCTATAAGAGAAGGGTAGGTGCTACCATTTTGTGAAAGAAAGTGGACTTGTTTGAGGGTTGAAGTGATGCATTTAGTTAGGGGAATGTTTAGTGTGAAGTACTAGAAAAGTATGCAGGTAAAATGTCCTTTAAAATATAAAAGTGGGTGTCTGAGGCATAAGGGAGAGAGGGACTCGATTTGGGAGTCAAATGCACAGAGGTGAGAGTCGAGGCTGTGAGAGTAGGTGGGAAGAAATGATGTTCAAGGACCAACCCTCGGGAACCATCACCGATAGGCAGGACTATAAGAAGAGGAGCTAACAAGGTAGTCAGAAATAGAGCGCTTAGAGAGGTGAGGGGAAGAAGGAAAAGCCAGAGGACATCCCTGTGCAAGCTGAGAGTCAAGCGCTTCCAAAGCCAAGAACTGACGGCAAAGAAATGGAGAAAACACTCCAAAACAAGACCAATTACTTCCCTTTTTTAAAAGTTACTATGAGTTTTTAGAGGCTACAATGGTACTTGAGGTTTCTTCTAAAATATCACGATATATATAGATACCTGAATGGGCAATATTTGCCTTGAAAAGAATGAAATGTGGAAAGGGAATGAAATCTTTTTCCCAGTATGTTCCAGAACATGACCCCACATTACTATCATGGTTTGTGTGGCAATGTTTGCACTGGAAGTTTCTTTTTTTAGATCTATACTGTAAATGGAGCCCTGGTGGCACAGTGGGTAAGAGCTACGGCTGCTAACCAAAAGGTTGGCAGTTCGAATCCACCAGCTGCTCCCTGGAAACCCAATAGGGCAGTTCCACTCTGTCCTACAGCGTCACTGTGAGTTGGCGTTAACTGGTTTGGTTTTTGTTTGTTTGTTTTATACGATAAATACACAATGTTTGCACAGTGCGCAAGCCCTAATTATTGAATGGATCTGTGGTTAATTCTACTTAAACAAAACAAACAAAACAACTACAAATGTTTTCCCTGTCCTGATGGGGAAAACATGGTAGTTTTCTGTAGTTTATGTAATGATGACCTATTCAATATCACCTCCTTTGCACCTTAAGCAATGATGATTGTCCTTTTAAACTGATAGACGCATCAAGTGCCTGGCCCCTTTTTTCATTACATCTCTCAAAACTCCCTCTTATTCTCCAATTCCCTGCCAAAATGTTTGTCCAAGTCATGGCTACTACTAACTGAGAATTTTAGAAAATAAGTCTTTCTAACTTCTCTATTTTCACTCCATCCTCTTGAATCTATCTTAACAATGCAAGTGTCCATGCACCATTTTGATCTAATCACTTAACTTCTTCAAATCCTCATTGATGGCCCATTATCCTATAAATGCAGTATAATAGAGACCTGGTTTCCTGTTCTGAATTTGCCAAAAGCATGCTGTGTGACTTTAGATAAGTCACTTAACCTTTCTGAACTTCAAATCCTTCATCTATAAAATAGCAGGGCTTGATCAGATGGTCCTTAACATCCTTGCCAACTCTAAAAACGAAGGTCTATGAACAGAGCACAAGGTCTCCAAATAAGAGCGTTAATTCCCTCTATCCAAAACCAAACCCACTGCCATCAAGTTGAATCCGACTCATGGCGACCCCCTGTGTTACAGAGTAGAACTGCTCCACAGGGTTTTCTTGGGTGTGATCTTAACAGAAACCATTTGCGTCTCCCAGGGACCTAATGCTCTTTCCAGATGGTACTGAACCACCTTCTGCTCTCAGCTACAGTCTCTGTGCAATCAGTTATGCGTATTTATGCCATTCTTTACTCTTCCCACACACGGAGGCAGCCTTTTAAAAAAATCCAACTCCAAACCATCTTTGTAACTTTCTTTACTAAACAGCATGTAATTCAAATTAACCTTAAATCTTAGCACAAGTACAGTGTAAAATCCAATTCTTATGAAACTCTTCATAAAATAAAAATGCAATGGCCTTCTAATTTAAAAAACATACTTAATGCACTATAATTCTAACAGACAACAATGAAAAACCTTTAAATGTCATGGTGGGATTAACGTGTTTTTTATATATAGGGGCCATACCTTTTCTTATGTTCTACGTACTCACAGTTCTCACCGTACTACAACAGTCACACATTAGGAGATTTTCCAGAAAGATCTGCTAATGTACAACATAGGCTATTCCTAAACTGATTTCATAAGTTTGACTGGAACCCAATCTGCTAATATATTTACTCTGCCAGTATTTTGGAGTCCCTAAAGTTTACAGCACACCCTAAAGGCTGGATTACACCCTTAAACAAAAAAAAACAAAACAAAAAAAACTCAGAAAGAAAGAAAAAATCAAAACCCAGTGCTGTCGAGCCAATTCTGACTCATGGCGACCCCATGTGTTACAGAGTAGAACTGCAGCACAGGGTTTTCTTGGCTGTGATCTTTACAGAAGCAGATTGACAAGCTTCTCTTCCGAGGACCTGCGGGGTGGATGGAACCACCAGTGGTTGAGGTTAGCAGCAGATGGCAAACTGCTTAAACCACCCAGGCTTCCCGTATTATAACCCTAAAAAAAAAAAGAAAGAACAAAACACCACACCCACTGCCATCAAGTCAGTTCTGATTCATAGTGACCCTACAGGTCAGAGTAGAACTGCCTCATAGGGTTTCCAAGGAGTGGCTTCTGGATTTGAACTGCTGACGTTTTGGTTAGCAGCCAAATTCTTAACCACTGCACCATCAGAGCCCCAACAGGTCTAGGTGTTTAATATTTACTTATATTAAGTTGTGCAAAGAACATACAAATAGTTGGTTAATTAATTTGTATAAATAATTTGTTTGCAATTTTTTTCTTGATGAATTAATGCAAATTCCCTCTGTTTCACCAAAGATAAAATACCAGTTCAAAATTTCTACCTATCACCACTATGGATCTGTTCAGCTTGTCATTCAGGTTCTCTTTAAATTCTATTTTACATGAAACAGGCCTCCTCACAAAGGGTAGGTTCTGGAACAGCATTTTAACGTCAGACTCAGAATTTTAAAAGCCTGGTATTTTATAGCAAAAGCTTAGAGAACCAATTCTCTAGAAGCTGGAAGAGAAAACTAAGTAGTCTTCATCCTACTCTAACAGAAGTGTTTACATTCGTCATATTGACAGAGCAATCATTATAGGGGTACACTGGCGTCTATCCACTTCGGCTACACTGAGCTAACAAACTTATTCTGGGTTATTTAACTGAAATATTGAGCATCATTTCCACACCATGTAGTATAACACTTGGGATAATGCAGAAGGACCAATCCAAGATTTTGCTGAATACTTAACAGCTGCTATAAGCCTTGTCGCAAACAGCAAATGTGCTCGGCTGCTGTCCAAAAGGTTGGCAGTTCAAGTCCACCCAGAGTCTCCTCAGAAGAAAGGCCTGGTGATCTACTTCTACAAAATCAGCTACTGAAAATCCTATGAAGCATGGTTCTACTCTGACACACATGGAGTTGCCATACGTAGGAATCAAACTGAGTTGAATCTGAGTTGCCACTAGGTTTTTTTTTAAGGAGCCCTTGTGCGCGATGGTTAAGCACTCACCTGATAACTGAAAGGTTGGTGGTTCGAACCTACCAGCTGCTCCAAGGGAGAAAGATGTGGGACAGAGCCTTGGAAACTCTATGGGACAGTTCTAGTCTGTCATATAGAGTTGCTATGAGTTGAAATTGACTCAACGGCAACGGGGTTTGTTTAAGGATTTGTTGTTGTTGTTATTATGCCTTGTAGTTAATAACTGTATATGTATCTCAGCAGAAACACTCAATGCCAAGCAAAAACAGAGATATGTCAAAATAGGAGGCAAAATTTTGCAACACAGCAGTTTTAACCAAACGGTACATGGACATGTGACAGGAATTTGAAACGTCTCCTGCGAGAAGAGGAAGGATTAACATCCAATCATTAAAACGTAACCTCGAACGGCACCTGCACCGCACTCCATATTATGATTATGAAAGACGTCATCCCAAGAAGACACTGTATCTTACACTCCAGAAAAAAAATACAAATCTGTTTAACAGATACATATATATGTATGTACACTTGAATAATGGGAAATATTGAAACCAGATATCGGCCCCATCTGCAATGACAATTATTCCTTGGTAAACTGCACATTTTACAATATTACAAAACCTCAAAAGGATACCATTATATATTATTCCACAATAAAGCTGTTTATATTTTGAGAGTAGAAATATATTTTTAGAATCTTTGAACAATGGATAGTGATAGGAATCAAGCAGAGTGAAGTATTTTTGTTGGTTCAAGTCAAGACAAGGTCCCTGGGGGGTGCAAACAGTTTGCGCTGGGCTGGTAACCAAGACACTGGTCGTCTGAACCCACAGAGTGGCACTGCAGAAGAAAAACCTGCTTCCATAAAGATTACAGCCAAGAAAACCCTATGGGGCAGTTCTACTCTGTAACACATGGGGTTGGCGTGAGTGAGAACCGACTCACAGCACACAACAAGAACAAAGTCATGGACATACACACACAAACCATCTTCCTGCTAATTTTATAAAAATACTTCATCTCAGTAGAAAGGTGCCAGGTCAATAATGCAAATGAAAGTCAAGGATAGTTACAGCAAATTAAGGTAAGCCGCCAAGTCTAGCAAATAGAAATAAATGAAAGCTGTATAAATGATTCTTTCTGCTTCACTTCTCATGGATGAAAAAATGGAGGAATTGATTAATGTCCTTAGAGCTTCTATTCATCAGAAAATGTTCCTTTTTAAGTCTTAAAAAATATTTCTTCCACTAAAATTTCAGCGTTTTTATTTCTAGGTTTCACGGAAGATTGCCAACCAGGTTTCACACTTTCTTTTTTTTTTAAATCAATTTAAGAACAGTGAAATAAGGCAAAATTGCTTGTTATGAAAAGCTTGACTGTTTGACACACAATGGAAAGAAAAACATTAAGTGTATAGAAATTCTCAAAATATAAGACACTCTTGTAGTTAAGGAATAAAACAATTACGTTGACAGCTTGTTAATATAAGCCATGAGAGACAGGAAATAGGAGGCACTGCAATGAACAAGAAAAAGGAATTTGGAGGCAGAAATAAGGGCGGCACTCCATAGTTGTGTACAGACACAAAAAGACGACAATTTCCAGACATTCTGAAAATAATAACATGAGCTATACTTATGCTAGTGCTCTGCAAAACCACCATCATAAAGTTAATGAGCTGCCTTCTGTGATTTCCTAGAATGGGACAGATTTTCAAGCTAATACATATTAGTCAGATTTCAAGACATTCTCTTGTTGTCAGAAGGGTATTTTGGAAAGCCACATGGTGTTTACACTGTTGTTTTCCAAATGGAACTTACTTACTCCACAAGCACGGATTGAGTGTTTACCACACCGAAGGCACTGATACGGGGGTACAAAGATGAGTGAGACTTGACCACTCTTCCTCAAGTGCTTGACCCCACAGGAGTAATTTATTCACTGGGAGAATCTGACTCGCTAAATGGGGACTCGTT